GGAAAAAAAACAAAGTGATATATTTACCTAATAATCAACAAAATTGTTAATAATAAAAATATATTATATAAATAATAATAATAAAAAATATTTTCAAATTTTTCTTCGTTTTTCAATTCAAAAATTCTTTGACTAGTGATTTCAATTTGTTTAGAGCAGTAGTTATCATTACGTCTTGAAAAAGGTGTTTCAAGAGATAAAACAATATTGTGATATAGCTTCATTATTAGCTATCTATGTAGGTATTTGATAATATAATAAATATCTATTAAATCACGTTAAATTTAGTCTTACTTTGTTTTATTGTAAAGAAATTGTTTTTTATTTTCTTTAAATTAATACCTGCCTTATCCTTATCCTTAAAACCTTTGTACTATCCCTCACACTGACAGCAAACACTACCCGCGTACTATGCGATGCGTACATTAGCCAGTAACTAAAACACTGAAACTCTAAGTATAGCATATTGTAATAGATAGAAGCATTTTAAGTAAATATTTATTTCGCTGAAATACAATATTTTTTTACACAAATAAAATCTGTTGTTTTCAAAGAAACACTTCTATCCGTGTAGGAACGACTGCGCTACATAGTCATTTACAAGATATAATCCGTTTATGAAAATATAGTGATCGCGAAAACATAAAATTTGCCGACGAGCGCAACTTGAATAATATTATGCGTGTGATATCTATATCTACGGATCTCCGCTTAATCTATAGGGTGTTTTCGTTAAGATTAAGTGCCGAAAATAATACAAAATCGGCCGACAAATTCCACATTCTTCGGCGCGGACTTATATCGCTCTGTAATTTAGCCACGCTCTTATTTTACGCCGAATTTACCGACATCTCTCCAGTTTAAAATAAAATCAAGAAATTGGTATTCATGCAAACTGAATATTTATTAGGCAGGCGATTTTTTTTAGGGGACATATCACGTAGGATTTGTCTACAATCATTTCCAGTGACGCAACCAAACTGGATTCAATTGAATCTAGTTGAACTTCATTTGAGAAACTACCAGTTGATTTATGTAACTATAAATTTTTTTTAACCCTATGAAGAATCTTATAAGCCAAATTTTATTGTCCGCTGTCGAACAACATAACGAAAATAAAACGTTTCTTTATTTTTCTGCGATTTTCTGTACTGTGGTTTCTGTGGTAATCCAAGCCATCGTTCAATGGTTCAAATGTCATTTGGTGAGTGAGACATTTGCAACAATGTTTTGTTATGGTTGCGCTTGAAACTTGTTTGTAAATAAATCACAACACACTGAAATCAACGAAATATTACAAATTCAAAATCGCATAATCGAGCACGAAACAAAAAGAAAAATAGAACGAGAGCGTGCATTAGAGAACGATAAACTACAGCGGTTTCTATCGACTTGTGGTAAAACTACACAGAGCTTGTCAGTCGGACTTATTGCTTGCGACTGTTCATAAGTTGGTTTCTTTTGGCATCCCTTATTTAAGGGACAACTTCCAATAGTTGATTGTGCTGACCGGAAAAAACGCATTTGTAGGTTTGATCCTTATGCAATAAACGTCGTGTAATGTGGAACAATAAAACATCGCAAGTGAACGATAAATAAGTCAGATAGCAATCAGTTGGCAGGACTGGAAAAAAAGCCAAAGGAGTACTTGAACCGGGGTCAAATCTATAATAACTTGAGGCAAGTATAACAATACCCGAGGAGCACGATCTGTCTTGTCGTCGCCGAGCGCGAGCGCTGTTGGTTTATAGATATGGCTGATTGAGGTTTCGATTCGGTACGATATCTCGGTGCCCCAGCCTTGGCTTCCTAGTAAAAGTATCCCCCC